GCAGCTCTCCGACACGGCTGAAGGGGTGGGACATTCTGTAAACAGGCTGTTCGGTGGGGAGGGAGGAGATATGTAAAAGGGGATGGCGTGTGTCTGTCCATTCAGTGTCCATCCAGGTCTTCTGTCTCTGGGTCTGGGTGTCGGGCTAGGGGAGCCCACCAGGACCCAGAACACCAGCACAAGCCAAAACAGATCCACCAGCTGGCCCCCATTGCCTGCCCTCCTGAAGGTCGGACCCCGAGTGCTGGCCCCTCAGATCCTTCTCTCAGTGAGACAAGAGCCAGACGCTCGGCAGCCACTGAGCAAACACTGCCGCTCTGGCCCCCTCTCCCAAGGCGACCCGTGGCTGTGTCTTGTCTGGCTTCTTCCTCCCTGCCATTGCCTTCTCCCTGTCCAGGCAATAGTGAGGCACAGACCTGTCTCCCCGAGGCCAGGTGGAGAGACTACATCCCCGCTCCTTCCCTTCAAAGGAGCCTCTCTCTACCCTTTCTCTCCGTGGATCTCACAGGGAAAGAAAGCCCAGAGAGGACCCAGGTTCTCTGCCTGGACTGGCCACTCCCAGATTCCAGAGCGAGCAGGCAGCCTGCTTCAAGCCCTGGGGCTCCCCGAGAGCCTTCGGGGGACCGTAGGTCTTTTAGTGGCCCCAAACTCCTTCCCATTGCAGAGGCAGATGTTGTGCCAGCTGCTGTCTGGACTATGTGGGGGGACCTACCCCCAGGGAGCAATGCGGCACGGTGCATCCCATATTGGTCCTTTAGGCAGAAAGCAGCAGTGGAAACCAGACACATGGCTAGTATCTGATGTGCATGCAGGACCAGCTCCCATGGTCAGGCTGCAGCCTTCTCTTCTAGTCCTGAGCGCAGGTGAGGGAGTGGGTGCTGGCTGGAGGGCCAGCGAGGTCACAGGCTGTGATGTCACGGCCACCCCTCCACCTCCTCTGACCAAAGTGCTCAGGACAGCTCAGAGGGCCGTGAACAGAATAGAAAAACCCCCCAAACCATTGGAGCCGCCCAGGCATCTCATCTGGACACTTTGCCAACAAACTTGGCCTCAGCTCCATGGCAGAATTTGTAGTCAGTGGTCACAGCTCTCCTCACCAGCCCTGCAGGTTCCTCTGAAGCTCAGAGGACCACACTGCCAGTTTACAAGCCACATGTGCCAAGAGAGTCAGGATCACAGCCCCGTCCAGACTGCGGGACTGTGGCCCAAGAGAGTACCCAGTCCTCCCCCACCCAGGTCAGGGCCCCTGTGAACAGCAACAGCACAGCCGGAGGCAGCTCGGGACCGACCCATGCAGCCACCCTGGGCACCCGTCCCAAGACTCCATCACCACCGTAGACTTGGGCCCCTCTAACGACTCAGGGGCCCATGCTGGTGGGCCCCACCAGTCTTCCCTGGGCCCATCTTCCCAGAGGCTGCCTCTGGGCGCTGCAGGCTGATCAGGAGCTGGCTGCAGGCCATTGATACACATCCCAGAAGTTAATGAATGTGTTCTCCAGACCCGGCCTACCCTCACCTTCTGCCTACTTCAGGCTTCTAGACTAGATGAACTCCAGCGCAGCTGCCCAGCCGCTCAGGTGATTCCACGTCAGAGGATGGAACCCTTCCTCATCCAACTGTCTCCAGGTCCCTGAGGTTTCCTGGGTCCTGAGTGTGTGGCCAGCAGCAGAAAAGCTAGGATGGACCTGCCCCAGACTGCGGGCTGGTAACCAGGTTAAGAAAACCACGTACCCTGGAGCTCCGGCCTCCTCCCTCTGGGCGCACCTCTCTAGCCCTCGGAGGACAGGACGCCAGCCCTGGCCTGGCGGTCAGGAGATCTGGCTCTGCCTTGCTTCGCCCTGTGACACTGACCAACTGTCTCCTCCCTGGGCCTCTGCTCCCCAGCCTATCACCTTTCCCCAGCAACCCTTCCTGTCGGGGTCTAGTCTCCAAGAGCCAGAGGGCAGGGCCACGCTCCTGAGGCAGCTGGGGGCTTCCAGGGCCAACTGTTGGCTCAACTGTAAAAGAAAGAAAGTTGGATGCCCTGCACTGCCCCCTCACTCCTTTTTATCCCTCCTCCTCCCCCTTACCCCACATTCTTCTCAGTAGGTCGTGAGAAGGTTATAAGCTTGAATGCAACACAGCCAGTTTGGGGCTTCCCTGGTGGTCTGGTGGTTAAGATTCCACGCTTCCACTGCAGGGGGCATGGGTTCAATCCCTGGTAGGGGAACTAAGATCCCACATGCTGTGCGGCACGGCCAAAAAAATTTTTAATAAATAAAAACGTAGCCGGTTTTGAATACAAGCTTTCCCATTTGGTGGCTCCATGCCCCTTGGTAAGACATTTAACTGCTCTGAACCTTGGTTTCTTCATCTAGATACAGAGGATGATAGCACAGTGTTTCAAGAAAGGAAGAGATAGACTTTGGAGGGAGCCTGTCACAGCGCCTGGAAAATAGGCTCTCTGTAAATGGGCCTTTTTTTCCTGTCATCTGCCAAACAATTCTCCAGTTCCTGGATGAAGCTCTTCCTATGCTAAAAGGAAACTTCTGGGTTCACCAGTTTCCAGTCGTGCGTTAGGAGTTTAGCACAGAACTACATGTGCCAGAGAGGGCAATGCTTAACCCACAGCAAGGCGGGGCTTGCGGGGCAGCGGGGGACATATTTCTGGCTAGCTGGTAGCCTTTCTGGGCACCTCCCAAGTCACACCCTGTGCTTGACTGTCCCTACACACAAAGCTGATTCTAGAATATGTGAAAAGATCTGCTGCCCCAGTTTGCAAAAATAGTAGTGCCTGACTTGGGGAGAGGAGTAAGGAGGGGAGAAGGAGGCCAGATGTTTCCCCCTGAGAGTCAGAAGGCCCCGCCCCCTCACTGACCAGCCTGCTTCTCCTGCTGCAGCCCCCTCCCAGCCTCCCAGCCCTCCCCTCTCCCATCCCAGGAACATCTGGTTCCAATCTCTTCCAGATGCTGTGGCCAAGCTGTTTTATGGCCAATCACCTCAGCTCAGCTTCCTGAAGGCCTCCCTCCATTTTGGGGAATGGTCCCTCCTCGTCCCTTTCCTTGGGACCTTGGCCACCTCTTTTCCTAACATGGAGAAGAGACACATATCGAAGCCAAATGAAACTGTGAGGGTCCTCAGAACTGCCACCTCCCTTCCCACTTCCTTGGGGGGGAGGGCTGTCATCCAGCCAGGATTAAAAGAAAGATGCTGTCCCAGAAGGAAAGGAATGGATAGGGAAGTATGGGTGTGTGTGTGTGTGTGTGTGTGTGTGTGTGTGTGTGTGAGGTATGAGTGTATGAGGATGTGCCTATATATTGGGTGTGTCTGCGTTTGTGTCTGCACAGCAAAATACCCCACTGTAACCTGGAAGTGCCCCTTGGTAGCCACCACCTCATTTTCCCTCCCTGCCTGCACTAGCTAACTCGGGGCCCCTCTGCTGGACAGTGGCAGCTGCAGCCCAAGGTTGTCCTTTACCTTGCAGCTCTCTGTGGCCGCCAAAGCTGTCTTCCATATCCAGCCCAGGGAGGCGGTGTGTGTGTGTGTGTGTGTGTGTGTGTGTGTGTGTGTGTGTGTGTTTGCACACATAGACCTCTCTCCCTCTGCCAGGTCAGATTAGAGGGACACAGGCCAGAAGGGACCCCAGGGCAGACTCTGGCAGATGCCCTGACCCAGCTCTATCTGACAGGTGCCTGGAGCTGCCCAGGGCTGGCCGAGTGCCGGAGAGCGGCCATCTGGAGAGAGGAAGGAGGGGCAGGCTCTCTGGAGGAAACCTGTATGCAGCCCCCCCACCACCCCTACCTCAACTGGCTCCTTCGTCCCCCACTAAGAGGACCCTGGGAGCCAATCTCTCCTCCTAAGAAACCCAGAAGGGTTTTGCAAAAGGAAGATTGAAGCCTGTGCCTCTGGGGGACTCTGAAACCCCCTCAGCTGGTGCTGGGGGGTGGTCCTGCCCAGAGGCGGAAGGATGGACCCTGGAGGTCACCCCCCATCCTTAGAATCCTGGACTCCAAATATTCCCTACTACTCCTTCAAAATAAGCTTCCTTGGCATTTTTGGCTCCACAGCCCCCCCTGGTGTTATTCGGGAACTAGGCATGGCCATGGTCAGCCAGAAGCTCTGTGGAGACCCTTGGGTGGGCCACTGTGTCTGAGACCTGCCCCGCCCATGTCTTACTGTCCCAGGTGGTCCCTGGCATACACTGGGGAGACAAGGCAGTGAAATGGAAGGTTTCTAGCTTCTGAATCAAATCCTGGTTATTGTTCCCTACTGGCTGTAAGACACGGGCAAGCCTTTTAACCTCTTTGTGCCTCAGTTTCTTCACCTGTTAAATGGGAATCATACGGCGCAGGGACGTCGTGAAGACTAAAGGAGCTGATGTGCGTGAAAGCACCTGGCCGGATGCCTGGCACGTAGTAGGCCCTCAGGAAGTGGCATTTGACCTTCAGCTTTCCTTCCTAGTGCAAGGAGGCTGTGCCCCAAGCTTTGGATGACACATGTTCATTTGGGCCTGAGCCAGGCAGTGTCGGGGAGGTGACTCTGTTTTTTCTGGAGCTTTTCCATTCCAGCAGAGGATCATTTTAATAAGTCCATAATAATAGACGCAGAGGTGACTCAGATCTGCAAACGAGGAGCCCTGCTGGGGAGCCGACACTCGGGCTCTGGGGGAGGGAAGTTCAGTGGCATCTGAGTCTGATGCAGTGGCAGGCTGCTGCAGTGGGAAGGGCTCCAAACAGGGGGCCTGTGGACCTCGGTTAGGCCTCCAGATTTCTACAGGTTGTCCCCTAGGAGGCCTCAGTTTCCCCATCTGCAGAGTGCATGGTAGTGCCAAACTGACCTCCAAAGTCCTTTCCAAGCTGGAGACGTGGCTCTGCTTTCGGAGCCCTGCCTCTCACAGTGAGATGCGGAACAACCTTGATGGTTCCAGGTGGCCTGTCCTGGGGGGCATCCTCATTTGAGCTCTTCTGTGACTGTACAGCTGGCCCGCCCCACCCCTCGCAGAGCCCAAGGAGAGGCGGGGCTCTCAGGCCATGGTGGTTTATTGATGCACGTCGCAAGCACAGCACACAGGCGGGTGTGCCCCCAGCCCAGGGCAAACACGAGGCCAGGGGAGGGCAGCGGGCCTTTTCCGCTGCCCTCAGCATAGGGGAAAGGGCCCGGGGCCCACGTCCTCTCCTCCATGCATTTCCCACGGCCCCCAGCCCTGATCCATGCCGCGGAGACAGCTGACCACACCACTCCCTGTGGCTACAGAAGAGGCAACCAGCTGTCCTATCTGCCCACTCACTGAGATATGGCCTTGTTGGCCTGCTGCCCACTTCTGTCCTTCACCGCAGAAATCAGGCTGTCACCTTGGGGGCTGCTTCCCACCACCTGACATCACCTCTGGCATCCCCCAAACAGCTGCCTGCCTTGGTTGACACCTCTCCCCGTCACCTCACGCAGTCTGCTTGTCCCCAGGGTCCACTCTCACCACTCCCATGACCCGTACAAAAGTAGGAAAGAGGTGAAAACGTTGAGTGGCCCAAGAAAGACCTCACCAAGAACTCCCCAGGGAAGGGCCTCTCCGCCAATAGGCTAGCTTCGCGGTGGGTACCCGACAGGGCCAGTGGGCAGGGGCGCGGGCGGGGGGTCCTTTGGATCTATACACAGTAGTGAGTTTGCTGAGCATCTTTAGAACAGTTGTTTGGAATTCTTTGTCAGGCAGTTTTTGGCTCTCTATTTTGGGGCCCCAGAGCGAGCGAGCAAGCGCGCAGCCAGGCGGGGTGCCAGGGCTCTGGGGGAACGCCCTCACTTCCAGTTCCACGCCGGGTCCCCCCGGTGTGAGGCCGCCCACTCCCGGCTGAGGAAGGGGTCCCTCCGGGTCTCAGGGGTCTCTTGCCCCCTCCTCGACCCCAGCGGCTGCCCTTGCAGACCCAGCACTCTGAGCAAGGGAGAAAGTACGCCGGGATTTACACCATCTCCAGACGGAAGAAGGGGAAACACCAGCAGCCAGGTGCCCCCGAAGCTAAGAGAAAAAGAGGGCCCTTTTCTAGAGGGCAGGTGGAGAAGGGGAGGCACAGCCCTCCCCGTGCAGGAAGAGGGTGCCTCGGGGCAAGAGGCGGGGGGAGGGGGGGATATTTATAGAGGGAGAGGGTCGGGCCTGCGGTGGGACGCCCCCAGGCCCGACTCACGGGGAGGGGCATTCTGTGATTGGCCCTGAGCGGGAGGGGGTGGGGCTAAGGAAGAGCACGCCCACAGCTCTCGGCTCACCTCCGGAGGCAGGCAAGCTACAGGTGGGCCTTGGAAGGGAAGGCTTCCCCGGGAGAGCCCTAGGCGGCAGGTCTCCTGAGATGGAGGCCTGGGATGAGGCAAGAAACAGCAGGGCAGGGAAACCAGAGGAAAGGGGAAGTCTCTAGAAATCCACCAGCCCAGCCACTCCCCACCAACCTGCTGAGGCTAAGAAGCCTTCCCAGCCCCACCAGGCATGGGTGGGCCATGCCTACCAAGGGACCACCCTCTGTTGCCTCCAATGCCCTGGGGAAGGGAAGGGAAGGGAAGAGGGAGATGGACGGCATGGAGGGAGCAGGGCGGCAGGGGAGAGAAAGCCAGCTCCCTGCCCCTATGCCCCCCATCACCACCCTGCCTATAGCCCCCCAGCTCCCCAGAAGTCCCTAGCGGCCCACGCTAATGTTGCAGGTCTTGCAGCTGGGGTCTTTCTTGGCGTCAGCAGTGGACAGGCTCATGAGCTGGTGCCCGCTGATCTCCCCCAGGGTGCCCAGGGACAGGTCGACAGGCTCGGTGTAGATGATCTCCAGGATGAGGTCCTGGGCGTGGCGGAAGACCAGCTCCCCATCCTCCACGCTGCAGGTCAGGAACTTGTTGCAGGCAATGTCCAGGAGGGGCAGGCGGTCACGGCAGAAGCGATCCCCCAGGGAACCCTTGGGGGCCAGCACCAGGATGGCATAGTGGTAGGCCGTGTACATACAGTAGAAGTCCGCAAAGTAGAGGTTGGTGCTGGGGTTGAAAAGGCGCTGGGCAGGGATCTGGAAGCGCCAGCGGCCGTAGGGGGAGTCCTGCGGGGGCTGGCCTGTGTTGAACTCCGTGTTGCAGCTGAAGAAGACCCCGTGGAGCATGCCGCTGGTCGGGGAGCCATGGCTGCCACTGTTATCCTTCAGGTAGGGCTGCAGCATGTTCCCGCAGTGGGTCCTGCCCACCCCGGGCGGGGGGGAAAGGCCCAGGGGAAGAGAAAATGCCGTTGGTTAGCTGGACTGAGGCTTGGCTGCTATGTGTGACCTTGAAGGGTGTCAGCCCAGCTCCCAGCTCTCCCACCAGCTACCGCCTCCACCAGTCACATATAGAACATTCCAGAATGCAAGAGAAGGGAGGGCCCTGGAGACGGGCTGATCCAGCCCACTTCTTCACGGAGGAGAGATCTGAACGCGCCACTCCCCAGCTTACAACCCTTTAATGGGACTTGCACAAAGAGCAACGCCATAAAGATCTGGTCTTTCGGGCCCCACCTCCCAACACCCCCAAACGCACAGGTAGCAGGTCATCCTCCAGCGGGAACCCCACCCCAGTTCTTTCCTGCCTCTGTGCCTTTGCAGTGCTCTTCCCTCTGCCTGGGCTGCCCCTCCCACATTTTTCCACCTGGCCTGGCAAACTTCTAATCATCCCTCAGGTGTCCGCTCCTCTCCAAAACCTTCCAGGAACAGCAAGCACTTACATTCAACAAAATTTTGACTGCCTACTATGTGCAGGACACTGAACTTTACTCAGCAATCACACATACTTATTGTATTCCATCTGTCTGTATTTCCCCTGATAGACTCTGAGGTTTGTGAGGCGGGGGGGACTATGCCTTTCTTCATCTTTTTTTTTTTTTTTCCTGAGCCCCACGGCATGCAGGATCTTAGTTCCCTGACCAGGGATTGAACCCATGCCCCCAGCAGTGGTAGCACAAAGTCTTAACCACTGGACCACCAGGGAAGTCACTATTCATCTTTATATTCTGGCACGTATGGGTGCTCTCTGTCTCTCCCTTGCTTGCTGATAGAGGAGCCCAACTGGCCGTTGTCCTCACCACTCACCTACTGCCTCTCTTCTTTCGTACAAACACCAAAGAACCCCTCCCCCCAGGGTCAGGTCAGAACGCCCCGCCCCTGCTGACTGCAGTGATAAAGACAGTAACAGGGGCAGCTTGCCCTGGCGCCCCTTAGAAGGAGGAGGACTTCAAGTAGTATCAGCCGGCATGGGGAGGATGGGCAGCCCCTGGTCCAGCCTCACTCTTACCTGGTTCTGCTGGCCCTCTGGGCCTCAGGCTCCCCATTTGTAGGCTGAGGGTGTTGGATGGGATCACCAATTTTCAAACATTTTTGAAATGTTTCGAACATTCAAGCAGAACCCCTCTCTTTTATCCCCAAAGGAAATTATACACAGGCAGGCCAGAGGCAATTAAATTGAAGCCTCTCTGGTTGGGTGACAGGTGCGGGGCTCAGCAAGCCTCACCCTCTGATTTCCTCTCCAGTCCCTCGGCACCACCTTAAAGGGCACCCTGAGATCCTTCCCCGGAGCCTCCAGGTTTCCCGGCGCGCAGTGTGAAGACCACAGCCCTTCGTATTGAGAATCCTCTCACTCTGTATTCCCCTCACCACCTCGCTTGCGACCCAGGGCCTGAACTGGAAGGACAGCTGACCTGCAGCCCTAGAACCCAGTGAAAGGAACTCTCCGAAAGGAGGATCAAAGCCAGGACCTCGTCCACTCATGACTGTTAGCGTGGTGCCCCCAGGCAGCCCCATCCTGAGAGCCCTCTCCTTCCCTGGAGCCTAACATTCCCCCCCAGATCCAGCCTAGGTTTTGAGGGTGGTGAGGACTCCAGAGGAGGGTCTGGCAACTAACAGGGTGGGGGTGACGTCAGACAGCCAGGGCGGCAGGCAGATCCAGGGCAGGAAGGAGAGACCCAGCCGTACCTGGCGTGCTGGAAGTACTCTTTGTGATGGTTGCGGTAGAAGACGGAGAAGCGGAGCATGCGGCCTGCGATCTGCTCGGCCTTCTCCTGCAACTGGGCCAGGTGCTCCTTGGCGTAATCTGCAAGAGTCCAGGTGGGTCAGTCGAGGGCCAAGCGGGGGATCGCAGCCTGCCCCACAGATCACCCACTGCATACCGTGAACGCCGGCCCACCTCTGTCGTCAGGGCGCAGGGGAGACCAGACAGTCACAGCACCTTGGGCCAGTTAGGAACAGACCACCTGGCCTGGCTGGGAACATGAGCAGCTGGTTGCTGTCTGTCCTTGTCACCTCTGGGCCCTGTTGCCAGAGGCTCAGGGCTCTGTGTCAGAAAAGGGCAGAGGGCTGCCCAGTTATACGGTCATGTACAGCAAGGGCCCCAGAGGCTATGATCCCAGACCATCCTCGTGTGAAAAGAGGACCAAGAGGCAAAAGACTGAGAGGAGATAATGTGAGGTCCTTTGGGGAGAGCCCCTCAGATCCACCAGGTAGGAGGCTGCCCACACCACGGCATGGAAGCCAGTTGTAATTTCAGGTGGAGAGTCAGGAGGAAACTGCAGAGAGCCAAGGTGAATATTTAGGCAGACCAGGGTCTGGGGCATCCCATGAGAAAGGGGGAAGGTTGGAAACAGCATAGTCAAATTGGACTCCCTGGGCCAGGGCCAGAGGCTGGGGCCGTGGAGCCCAGGCAGGGCTGCTGCTAGCCTAGAGAGTGCCTTTGCACAAAGTAGGAAGAGGTGCCCTTCCCTCCTTGCTGATGCAGCCCTGGCCAGGGTGCTGGGTTTGACAAAAGGAGGAGGAACTGAATTGCAGCCATCCCCAGCTCCCCAGTTTGCATGACCTCCCACTACATGTAGAGTTCTGGGGTAAACCAAGAGGCTTTCCCTGCAAGGTGCAGGAGCGCCTCCAGAGAGTGGCGTTTTGCAGCTGAGCTAAGAAAAAAACACCAGTCAAAAGAGAAAGGCAGGTCAAGGAGACTTGGGGCACAGACTTTGGCAGAGGATGGAGTCAGCAGCCTCCGAGGCCTGGGGCTAAGGATGTTCATGCCCCTTCCTTGTGACAGAGGGAGATCTGGAGCAGTTCTCACCGTGGGCACCAAAAGAATGGAATATCATGGGGCCCATCCTGGGTCGTCAGTGAGCAAGTACACAGAAGCCCAGTATTTGTTCATGTTGGAATTTGCAAGCTAATAGGTGAGTTTGTGGGATGGTTTTCCCAGCCTACATGGAGGCTCAAGACAAACAAAATGTGATTGTCCTACGAAGTGTCCATCAACCAATGATCAATAAACAAAACATGGTCCATCCACACAATGGGGTGTTATTCAGCCTTAAAAAGGAAAGAAATTCTGACACATGGCCTAACATGGATGAACCTTGAGGACATTATGCTAAATGAATAAGCCAATCACAGAAGGGTGAATACTGTGTGATTCTCCTCACCTGCGGTACCGAGAGTGGTCAAATTTACAGAGACAGAAAGTGGAAGGGTGGTTGACCAGGGCGTGGAGTGAGAGGGGAATGGGAAGTTGTTGTTTAAGGGGCGTAGAGTTTCAGTTTCGGAAGATGAAAAAGTTCTGGAGATGGATTGCACACCAATGTGAATGTACTTAACGCTGCTGGACTGAAAAATGGTTAAGATGGTAAATTTATGTTATGTGTATTTTCCCCCACTTATGCTTGCCCCAAGCCAGAAAAGTAACTCCATCCCTTTCTGGAAGAGGTATTGTCAACGTAATTAGCAGTGCTCGCATCTGTCTCCTGCATCAGACTGCAGGCTTTGCGGGGGCACGGGTGGGTCTCATCCATGGGTGTCTCCCCGTTGACCGAAGCACGGTGCCTGCGTACAGCAGGTGTTCCTAAGTGCATGCCGGGTTAAGAGGAAGTCCCCTCCTGACCATTACTAAACCAGATGTGCCAAAGCAGCCGGACGGCAGGGCCTCACCCCCAGTGCAGAACTCGACCGTCTCGCTCCAGCCAGACACGAGGTACTCCCCGTCGCTCTGCTTCACGGCGGTCTGCACTGCCACACTGTACTCCGTGCGGGGGCTCAGGAACCAGTGGCCTCTCACCGTCATGGGCAGCGGCACGGCCTTGGCCACGAGCTTGGTGGGGACATCCTGAGAAATGGGACGTGGACAGAGAGCCTAGAGTCAGATTGGGGGTCACGTCCACTCTTGGCATTCCCCCAGACCTCCCACTCCCCCAGATGGCCGCCTTCCTGCTG